GGACCTAGTTTCTTTCAGGCTGATTCTTGGATTCATTCCAAGTGGATATTTTCATTTTTCTGGGATCTTTATTTTCCTGATGAGATCTTAAATGCACTTCAATATTGAATACTTAAGCAGTTGTAGAAATTTACTCCATCTGGGAATGTTTGATACATTTAATGCAAAGTCAAATTCAAAGAGTGACCCACTTGGAAAATCACTATTTTTAATGCTTCTAATTTTGTTGTAACTGAGAAGTGAGAAATCTGAGTTTTATTGTGTGGGTTTCTGGAATTCGATAATTTGAAGGAGTTGGTTGATGAGGGGTTGAGTTGATCTCCACAGTTGAGATGAATTTGAGGCAAAACAGTGGGAACGAAAGAAACATAGATGTTACAGAGTAGGGCAAAGGATGAAATTTATTGGGTCGGTCGGCGACGGGATGTTGGCCGAAGATAAAGTGAAGATGATTGGCGCCGGCGGAGTGGCTGGGGATTATTTGGAGGAAATTTTTATTCTTTTCTTATTTTATACTGTCATTTTCTCTCCAGCTCAGCTTTTTTTAAATTCTGTACCTATCCTGTGAAATTTTGCCTGTACTTGTAGCATTTTCCAAATTTAAATAAAGGCTTGAAAAATGTATAGAAGTCGATATTTTTCCTTATGGAACATTGATTGGGAAAAATTGGTTTAGAAAGGATCAGGGGCAGACGCAGACATTTTATATTATACGGTCACAATCAAATTTTGAAAAAAAGAGACGAATTTTTTTTTATTACTTTATATGAATTATAAACTGTTATATTACTTTTTTATCTTGATTATTTTTACATCTAAAAATTTTTTACATATATAAAAAAATTTGATTATTTTTAGGACTTTTTTTTTATTATTGTTACTTTTTCTTCTCAATCAATTAATTTTTTTTAAAAATAATCTAATAAATTTCATAATAAAATTCTTGAAGTTATTTGAAAAAAAAAAATGATCAAGAGAGAAAGGTAAAAATAATAAAAGAAATCCAAAAAATAATTGAATTTTTTTATATATAAATTTTTTCAGATATAAAAATAATCAAGATGAAAAAGTAGTATAACAATTTATAACCCCTATGAAGTAATAAAAATTTTATTAAGAATTTTTACGTCAAAAAAAAATTAAATTTGAAGTCATAACACATATATAATTTCCTAATAAAATGATGTAAATTATATTGAGAAATTTTTCGAGCAAAAATAATAAACATTAATAAAATAATTGAATTTTTTAAAAGACGAGTTATACGTCTCTTTTTAGCATACATGTTTGACGTACGTTTAACTATTTTTGATATTCATTTAGATAATTCGGTATGTTTATGATATAATTTTCGAAATGAGCTTTGAGAGGATATCAAAGATTTACAGATATGGCTAGCATATAATTATTGAAGAATTTTTAAAGTTAGATTGTTGTCGAAATTCTCGAAATATTAGTTTAGAATTGCCTATTTTGACACATCATAACATTTACTATGATTGGTCATTTCGCATAACATTAACGACGTAAAATACTAGGTTGTGAGTACTTCAAAATAATATTAAAAATGTAATACTTTAATTTCGTTTGATATTTTATAGTGAGCTAAAAAAAAAAAGAACTTTTATATACTGGAGGGTCAAGTGACCCTAGGGGGCCGCCTTGGATCCGCCCTTTGAAATGATTATCATGAGTATAAACTAGAAAGACAGTTTCTGCATGGCTGAAGTAGTCAACAAATCTTGGTTCTATCACATCCATGTAGCTTTTCTCCTATATATTTGGAAGAATCGTTGGGAACACATGACCTTCTCCAGGGGGTATGGAAGGCGATTACGTGCATTTCGACGGTCAAGTAAATCAACTTGTATAAATATATTTAGGTATGAGAGCCACATGAGTGTTTGGATATCGAAGATTAGGATAGAATCGATATAAGAGTGTAAAATGAGAGAGATTACTTTGAATGCGTAAAATCACATTAACGATCGAGGCACATTTTCATAGACTTCATTCTATCAATCCTTGGCTCATGGACATTTAGCCCATGTTTGGTGGGGATTAAAATCAATTTTTTAGTAATTTATATAAAATTTTGAAATGTGTGATTAAAAAGTTGTTGATCTCACAAAATGTATGATTAAAATTAATTATTGACTTTGACTTATCTTAAAATCTTTATTTTAATCAATACCAAACAAGGGTTTAATATTTCTGAAAAATAGATGCTTTAGGTTGATAAGTTGACTTGATAGAGTGGTTGGTGTAAAAAGGTCACAAGTGTATCAATTCGACTACTGAAGAGCCTCAAATAGGTCACGTAGAATGGTGATGCTTGCGACCATGTGATCATGTTTGGAATCTTGTTGGATGAGGCGTAACACATATTTCAATCTCTAACGAATGTTTTTGTAGTTTCCAATACCTCTCCCTCTTTTCAATTTTGTTTGATTTTGGATTCATTTGTACTTTTTGAAAAGTTATGGATCCCTCCACACTTTTCCTTACTTTTTATTGTCTTACGACTTTGTTTTATTTTTGTTTATTTAAATAAAAGGACACATTCTTTCCATATAAACGAGAGAAAAAAAAAAAGACTGTTGCTACATAATTGAATTTGAATTATATTGTGTTGAAAAAACTTAACGGTAGATTAATAATATATTGTAAAGGTTGGAAAAGTGTCAATTTTCCGTTTTAAAATGTAAAATGTTTAGGACACGATCGTCCAAAAAACAAAGTCCAAATGAACAATAATCTTGCACATTTGCGTACACCTGCTAAGTAGAGGGATAGTTTAAGGTTGACATGGCATAGATAAAAAAAAGTTTGTGGGCTTACAAGACAAGAATATGAATCATTTTCAACTAGTCAATTCATTGATTCATCTATCTATCGAATTAGTATCCAAGCCCTTTCCTATGTTTTTGATTTTATTTATTTTTAATTCCAGCCTTTTGGATTCCGAAAGCCACGAAACAAGTTGAAACTTTGTTTCAATTAACCCTTTATTTTTAGGATAATACAAGAAGTATAAAGTAGTTTACCCCTCTCAAATGGAGGGAGGCTCTCTAGAGTTACAGCCTTCTAGAACACATGAGAGGTTCACTTTTGAGCGTACAAGCAGCATTAGACATTTTTATTTAGACAAACCTTGCAACAATCTTGTTACGGTATCATAATTTTTTTGACAAAAGGGGTGACTGACTTTGATAATGGAAGGGGCCTCACTTTTTTTGAATTTTTTCATTCACATGAAACCCACGATATGTGAGACCATGTCAACCATTGAGGCAAAAAAAATCGGGCAAAGTTGCAAAATTCAATTTTGCAAATAATTCACTTTTGAATTGTACTACATGTACATATTAATTTACATAATGGTTTATCAACAAATGATGTGACGAAATTTAATTGGATCAAAATTTCTTGAATCAAATAACTTTTTCACTTATATTTTGACATATCATCGTTACGTAAAACATTATGTAAATTGTTATGTACGAGAAAGCATTTTTCTTCACTTTTTCCATCCAATTCCACTCCAATCACGTAGAACCCCTTTTTCTATTTTTGTAGCATACAATTCTACTCTTTTAATCTCTTGGGGAATTTCAATCTCCATCACAGTAATTCATCTCTCGATCCTTCGTTATCTGGTAAGATCCCCCTCTTTCGATTCTCTTACTGTTTAGCTACCATTCTAGGGTTTCTAATTTCTACTGTTTATACTCATAAATGTTCATCTTCTGAATTTCAATATTGGAAATCAACTCCCGATTTTCCACTTGCTATTGTCTGATTATTGGTTCATGAATAAATGTTCTGTAGCAAAAAGTTCGCGTATGGAGACAAATGCGAAGGAGAATTCGGAAAGTTCACCTGCTTTAGCCGATGCTGTCGTGGAGCAAAACCATGACAATTTAGTCTCCGACTTGTCGAATCATGGGTAAACTTTACCTTTTCACAATGCAATTTGTGTGTGTGTGTGTGTGTGTGTTTTCCCTGAAGAAAATAGTTCTGCATTCGAACTAATCGTGAAGTCTAATGGGTGCCACAGTTCTTCGTTTGTACAGAGTCTTTATTGAGTCTGTAAATTGAATTGTTGATGTAATCTTTTTGATGCTGCGCACTTTATTCTTAGCGATTATTTTGCTATATTTAGAGTGCAATGTTTTTGTTGGGGGAGTGAGGGTTTGGTACCTCATGATTCCTTTATGACCAATAGTCTATCATACAGCAGCGAGGCTATTACTTGAATATGTTAAGTCCCATCTTAAAAAATAAAGAACCATAGTAGTGTCTCTCACAATATATTCGGCGTCTTTTTGCACCCAATGGTATAAAAGAATAGAAAAGAAACAGCAGTTTAAACTTAGCCCCCGTTTGGCCCCCATTCTTGTCAAATTTTTATGTTTGGAATAGTGTTTTTTTTGAAAATATGTGGTTGATAAAAAATGAAAAGTTTTTTATTTTCATGTAATATTATTTTATGAAAGATTGTGTGATTGGAAATAAGATATAGAGAAAGAATGAGAATGAGAATGGGGATGGGAGCTAAAGAGGGGCTTAATTGATTTCTATTTTTGATAATTTCATTACCCATGGATGCATTGTATGGTTAAAACCTGTTGGGTCATCCAGCCGGCAAACATATGTTGTTGGGGACAATGACAGGCAGTGATTTTCTTTCCACAAATGTTTCCTTCTATTAAATATTAGGGTTGACATGATTGGTTTTACACATTTGCTCCTTCACATTGAAAAACAAATTTTATTTTATTTTTTTTGTTTTGGGGGGGGGGGGGGGGGGGGGGGGGGGCATTGATCACCCATCTTGTCTATTAACATAAACCCGAATACAACTGGAAGGGGATAGGCCAGCCTTCCTATGGCGTTACATAAGTAGGATAGCTTTATTTTTGCTTGTAATTCTACTCCTACTTGAATCTTTATTGGAGTTGGACAAATGTTCAAATTTAGATAAACGAAAGTTTTGGTACGCTTTTATGTTGATAACACTTTCTTTATATGCATGCATATTATTTTCCAGACTCCAGACATTTGGCTTTGTAAAAATTAAGTTCTTAGACGGACAAGTGAAATTAATGTATGAGTCGACTGCATTTGATTCTAGTTCGTTGCATACACATGTATTTCTTTCTAACTTTTGCTATATTTGGCTATAATTGTATCGGACTTCAAATTTGTGAAGATAGTTTATAATTTCTGAAAGCTTCAGCAACTTGGTATCCTGTATCCCTCTTTCCTCTTTTGTACAAATCCTCCTTCTCTATGCGAATGAACTCTTCTAAGAATTTGAAAACACAACAGGAAATGAGAAGTTCTGCATAGCACAGTCTTGGTTTTTGACTCACCCTTTAATCACAATTTAGCATCTGCTAACCTCTTAACCTACCTATGAAGCTGTTAACCTTCATTAGGCTAAAATAATGTATCTTTTGAAATTTTGTACTTATGTTGTACCAGGCGAGGCTATATTGGTTTGACCAGTTGGTGGTTTCACTTTCTATTCATGATCGAATTCTGATGTAGTTGACAATGATTTTAGGACTATTTTGGTAACGCCTTCTGGTAGAAATAGGGCTATTTTAGGTAGATATAGTTGATTCCGTGAACCACTTTGCCTATGTTTGGCTCCTATTTATAAAACTCAAGCCACTTTTTATCGGCTCATTTCAAGAGACTCACAAGTATTACTGATATATCCTTCACTTGTTTCTATCTATTTATTATTTAAACTGCTTATGAACACTTGTCAAACATGTGTAGAGATTTGCTAAGAAGATTTGTCACTATGTGCCTTAAGTTTGTTAAACTCTGTCTTCCTTCTCTCATTCATTGATGATTTATTGGGTCTGTTATGGTACCTTCTTTTGTTATTTATCAAGAAGCAATTAAGGTAATGAGTTCTTTGTCCTTTATTTATATGTCAATCGTACTTGAGTAAATTCAATTGGCATTGATGCTATTTTATTCTATAATGGACAAACTAGGAGTTGTCATGATTCATGACATGTTATCCGTATGATGAAATACTTGGGAGTGGTGGTATGTTATATTTGTTGACATCACCGATACATTAGTGAGTGCTACTAGTTATGCTTTGACTTTCCAATCTAGAGAGTTGCCATAGATACTTATTGCAAATATTCTAGGGTGTGTACTTGACTAGGATTTTAGTGAATTTTGAAAGATTATAAATCTAATTAATTGCGTGAATTTGAATAGATTTCTATTGAATCCATAAGAATTTCGTTAAAAATAATGAAGTTTCAAAAGAGTTTGTTATGTGTATTTTTAAGCTTAAAATCAATCCAAATATCTTGAAATCCTTTTAAATCGACGAATTATTGGGGTCACTTAGGTTTTAATGGATTTCAATAAAACTCATTAAAATCTCAATTTGGGACACCTGAACTTAAAAAGACTTCTAAAATCTATTTAAATTACAATTGAGGACACTCCACACAAGTTTTTGTAACTTGGAAATTTTTTCATTTAAGGGGGTGACTGGAAGATTAAGCACTATTATATTGAATATTTAGAATGTTTATTTGCACAAGAATAATGTCACATCATGCCTTTGTTCATGTTTCTCTTTTTGCAAATTTGATTAACCTTTTTTTTTTTTTTATGATAATTGTGTTATTTATTGCTAATTATACAAGATGGCTTACCATTAATATAACTTCTTACTCTTTGAAACTTCCTTTCACTTCGGTCATCTTATCTTGATGATCAAGGAATCATAATCTTGATTTCGGAGATCAAGGAATCCATGAATGGGTTACTAATAATATAGATACAAATTGTCCTTCGGGAGCAAGAATTTCCAGGAACGTTAGGAACATTTTGGTTTCTCTTCTTTTCCACGTTCTAATGGTTTGATGTTTCATCTTAGGCAAGATTGGGAAAAATTAAGGAGTATGCTATCCTTCTATCTTAAGCAGGTATGGGGAGGTATGCAAGGTTGTCTGGTCATCTCTTGTTTATCCTGCAACTGTAGTCTTTAACCACATCAATTTTGCTATATAATATTGTCTATTTTGAAGGTCCTGTCTCAATATCCAGAGTCGAAAATGACCACCGAGCAGCAGATTTCTTTATTAGGAGAGACCTTCTCGGAGTTGGTGAAAAGGTTGGATGATGGTACTTCCCAGTCACACACCTTTTTATTTTATTTTATTTTTTTTATTATTTTACTAACTTTGTCCAAGTTATTTGGCTGCATCAGTTGTAATTGCCAACTACATTGCACTCTATGCAGCAAGTTTTTTCAAAACATGCGCACCACATAAATTTTGTTTCTTGTTTCTTTTTCCACTGCCTGGTGGACAGTGGCTTTGTGAACAAAATATAACAGTGGCCATGTTTGAGGTAGACTTAGATCTATTTTTTGAAGAGCTCTTTTACCTCATAATTTAAGAAGATTATTCTATTATCCTCAGTTGCTCAAATGAGAGAAACAAGATAAGACTTGCTATTTCAAATGATTATATTTATTCATTCATTTCAATTCATAACACTAACTCTAAATTGGTGACCTAATGCTAACTCTTGAAACTTGTTGAGATATTTCGTAGGGATAAAAAAGGGATAGCCCTTGTTTGAACCCTATTCTTCTCAAAATTTATTTTTTCAAAATTCATTTTCAATCACATATTCTTTAATAAAATAATATTACACGCAAATTCAAAACTTTTCCTTAATTTTTAACTACACATTCTCTATCAATCACTATTTAAAAATGCATTCTTTCTTTTAAAATGCGGTTCAAACAAGGGCATAGAGTAAAAAATATACTTCATGTTTGGCTAAGCTTAAGTAATTTTTGTTAGAAACATGTCAGGATAAGTTACTATTTTCTTCAAAATTATCTATGAGATATTTGCAATAGAGGTCCCAAACTTTTCAAAAATGTGCAGGCTAATCCCAAATCTTCTAATTTTAGCACCTACATCTAAAACCTTTTAGTAAATGTGTTTCAAAAGGACCTAACAATTTCAATAAATATTTCCCAAGGTTGCTCAATATTCCCCAAGGACCTCTAATATTTTAAAAATATGTCAGTTGATGAAAAGTCAAGGGTCTGATCTTAATTTGATCAATATTTAAAGCAATTAAATAATAATAATAGGAGAAATAAAAAATTTAAAATTTAAAAAGCATTCATCTTCCCCAACCCACCTACCCTAACCCTGCCCAACCACCGAAGTGAATTCTTTCGCATTCGCATATTCCCATTCCATCAGAGTAATTTCACCTTTCTTAGTTCATAATTCCCTTCAATTTTACTCAGTCAATTTCTCATTTGGAATCTGATTTGACTTCCTTAATTGACTTTAATTCTTCTCAATTGCTTCACCGGATTGCACAACGGTCCCCTTTTACGATGATACATATCTCGTTTTCTTAATCTGGGATTTTCTTGATCCCATTTCCATCAACAGAAACACTCAATTCTTTAGAGTGGTTCATCCAAATTATTCCCTAATTCAGGTAGTTGCCTTGCAACCTGAAGTGGGATCCCTTCAAAACTCTCAGATTTCCAAGTTTCTCTTTCCAATCACCCCACAGGGCTCCTTTTGAGGTTCGTATTCACTTTTACGTTATCATCAATCTCAGTATTATTAACAGTACTGTCACTGCTGATATTGTTTTCAACTGAATTTTCTTGAATGGCATCAAGCTGCCTGCACAGAAGGGTGTCTATGTACAGAGCTTTAAGCGGGCTGAGTTGATACAGCATTTTGAAGAATTCCCGAAGGAAGAATGAGGATTTGAGAATGGTGGTTAGAATTCCCGGATTGTGGTGGTTTTGGTGGCTTGGTGGGTGGAGTTTGGGAAGGTTGGGGTTGTGTGGGTTTGGGGGAGATGAATTTTTTTAATTTGTCTTATTTATTTTTTTGTTTCTATTTTATAATTGTTCAATCAGTCAAATGTTAAAAGACCACTTTACCTTGCATTGAATTACTCAAATTATGATTTTTGGATGGTAACCGTTAAGAGGTTCTTCTGGTTCACATTTATTAGAATGTTGGGATATAGGTGCTAAGATTAGAAGGTTGGGACCTGCGTGCACATTTTTAATTTTGGACCTCCATTGCAAATTTCCCATTATCTATTTTAAAATTAATTATTATCCATTTTTCAAAATAAGTAACTTGCTTATTTTTTATTATTATCAATAGAAGTAGTTATTTGAGAACTTATTTACTTAGAAGTGAACTTTTAAGCTTAGGCAAACATGCTTCTTTATTCCATTTCCTCTTTCTATGAATCTGAAGATTTCATTGTCAGTGCAGCTAACATTAGATAGTTGGAATAGAATATTTATTTATTTATTTATTTATTTATTATTATTATTATTATTATTATTATTATTATTATTATTATTTGAGTTGAACTTGGTTAATTTCTATAGGACCTATCACATACTTTATTTGCCACTGTTTTGCAGCTGTTCATAGCTTCGATGAAGGTCCTCCATTTACATTGCAAAGGCTTTGTGAGGTGATCATATTATATCCTTTTCTTGTTAAGTTCAGCTTTATCTTGATGCTATGCCCAATACTTATGACCTTTTTCTTTTTGGTTGCTTAAGCTAATCTTTTATCCTATGAGGTTGTCCTTCTGTTTTCTGCTTTGGGACTTTGCCATCTTGCCAATGTTCCTTATAAATGTTAATTTGTCTAATAAATAAAATATCATATGCTAGAATAAATGTTTGTATCTCCAGGCTACTGTGTTTTGCTCTTCTTCAATTTGGATTTCCGAATTTAGTTTTCAATGTGTTATATCTGTGTATTACGTATTGAACAGATTCTATTGTCTGCAAGAAACATTTACCCCAAGCTTTCAAAGCTCGCTTTGGCTCTAGAGAAGGTACTTCACTTTCTTAGCTAACATCACCCCTCCCTCCCCAAAATTTGAATCGAATAAAGCATTTATTATCTTGTGTATACTTGATAGTTTTGTTGAAATGTATCTGTTTTAAATCTTAAACATGCTTTCTTGGAAATCCTCTTGAATATCCTCGGCCCCTTTTTTAATTTTAGCGGAAAAAATTTCTTTTCAAGTGAAAAAGATTGATACATCATATTCATATATAATTCCACATGGACACTTGGATGTGTTTCCATGCATCTTTATGCTTGGAAGACAAGGATGTATGGCACTGGATCTTCTTGGAACTTGATCATCTAATTGGGCACGGATGAATTTGGTCGTTGCAAATTAGTAATACTGAATGAACTATAGTCAAGACTCAAGCTTAGTTGACCTTTGAGTCACTTGGGCCTGATAAGGCTAGAGATGGCAATTCGAAATGTCAGAATTGAAAATCGCGGTTAATCGAACTGAATGAAGCGAAAAAAATGGAACCAATGGAGCAATGGGTTGGATATGGTATTTGATTTTAATGCTCGGTTTAGGCCGGGACGGGTATGGTATTTACACCGTCGCCTTGCCCCAAACCGATTATATGTTAAAAAAAATAAATTAATTGGACAGTTGGGCTTTTCATTATTCTTTCTATGATTCTGTCCAGCCCAAAATTTTGGTCCATTATCAACCTGCTAAATCCAACTATCCTAATGCAGTAGCCCTATACCCTACTACACAAATATTAAACATATATAAAAATTGCTTGTTAAATTCAGATTTTGCATTTGGAAATTGAGATATTGTTTGCATTTGTATTTGCGATATTGTTTGCTAAATTGGCTTTGTATTGTGTTTTTGTTTTCATTGACTTTTTTCATAAATTGTTTTTTCAAATTTGATGGCTGGACCTATAAAAAATAATTTATTTTCGTGGTTATTAACCACCCGAGAAATCGAGCTGAACCGAACCAACTTACGTGGTTATGGTGCGGTTATGATATGGCAAAAAAATTGGTGGTTCGGTGATGGTTTTGGCCGAACCAACCTCGAACCGAACAGTTGTCAACCCTAGATAAGGACCCTTGTCCGAGCAATACTGAATGTTCTTATCACTATATATTTCCTGGTAGAGGAAGCTGCTTATGTGTTCTTGAGAGTTGGGACAAAGAGAATGGGCTTGGAGAGTTCAAAATATATAGTCTAAATTTTTGGTGGTAGAGTCTGTTTGTTACTCCATCTTGGACGCATCATGTCTTCATGATTTGATTGTGCTGATCCATTTGTTCAATATGTTTTAGTTCCAGCCATTATTCAAGCACGAGGAAGAAAATATCCTAGATATTTGATTCCATCAAGACAGGAATAGATAAAAATTGGATCACTTAGAAATAGATAAAATTGGAGCACTATCTATGGTATGTCCTTGTTTTTTGTTGCTAATTTTCTCAAACATTTCTTTTATATTATTTTACTCCCTGCAGAATCTGTTGGTCACATCTACATTGACTGTCTCAAGTGATTCATATCCTCCAGCAACCATACAAAAATCTAATGGAGCTTATGAAAAGCCTGAGAATCCCCAGCATCAGGCCAATTCAGTAGAAAATGGGGTTGAGCCTGCTGTAGGGGATGGGGATGAAATAATGGCTGAGGCAGAGGAAACTGAGGTTGATGAAGGTATGACAATAGACATGGAAACTATTGAAGAAATAGCCAGATCGTCAGAAGCAAATTCAACTCCGACTGTTGAGTCATAGCATTGCATTAAGAGTTCTACAGCATCGATCTCGTAATATATTGTCTTTCAGCAAAGACGTGAAAGCTAGAGGCTGAATGGTGCATAAAAGCAATATGGAGTCTGACCCTTTGTATTATTATCATTTAAAATCCTCTTCTTTCAGGCATAACGTATATAATCATCTGCTGATACTTGATGCATATTTTAGCAACTTATGCCTGAAGATAAGAATGGTTTGGTATGTTTCTTCATTTGGTTATCAAGTTTTGCATGATTGCATTCGATAATTATGCTCTTCATTGTTGAATTTAATTTTGTGGATCTTTTGGGGGGTTCTTTCTGCATAAGCGTTAGACTCGGCTTTGATTTATGAAGAATTTGATGTCGTGACCTAAAAGGTTACTGGCATTAGGTATTGCATGATACAAGGATTGGTCTAGGTTGAAATACAAACGAGACTAAAAATCAATACTCTTGGTATTGATTTTTATTATCACGCAAGTGTATGGTTTGTGATAAGTAATAAAATAGACGTGAGTCCAAGTATTGATTTCACAAAGAATAAGTTCATGCTTGGTTTAGTTAAACCCATTTTTTAGGTAATTTTGGTAAAAGTTGATGAAAATTGTGTATTACATGAAATGTTTTGTTAAAAATGAATTTTAGAAAAATGCATTTCAAAAAATGGGGAACAAGTGGAGGCCAAGTATCGAATAATTAATTGGGTGAGATGGTGAAGATGTTAAAAACCTAGGTATGTAATAGATATAATCAAACCTAACTAATTAGTAGGAAGTGTTTATGAATCTCAATTAATTGAACAAACACTATAATCTTGTATCTCCTACATTTATTGATTAACAGTAATTTTATGATTTGATAGCAATTATTCAATGTAAAGATCAAATTTTAATTTATCTAATAATCTCTTTAGAGTAGAATTAGATATACTCACATATGATTCAATAAAATCTCCATTCCAAATGCGAACATGTGACGATACATTGCTTCACAAGGATATCATTTAAATCATGCATAGTATAGACAATTATCCCCAATATCTATATGACCTCACAATGAATATTATTGTTACACATCTTCCAATGAGCCTCTAGGCATGTCCTAGTGGCAACTACACAGCAAGAGAACATGGGTCAGCACTCCACATCATTCTGCACATGTGACAATGTGGCCGAACCTCTATTAGCCAAATCCTATGGAGAGTCAAGCCATCATGGATGGGGCGAGATAGGTAGAGACATCATAAGGAAGATCTTTCGTACAAGATCTTGTAACAAGTGGGTGATGTAACAACTCACTGAATTAATAGCTCAACTTAATCAACAAGTCCAGACTTACATGTTAGACTTGGGGCTACCAATGGTCATATCATTAAATACACTTAAATCTAGGTTTGAGTAATTGATGCATATGATGAAAGGCCCCAATTGCTAGGATGAGGCCACGTGTCTATTCATCCAACGATTCTTACTCACTATCTTCTATTATAAAAGCTCACACTTGGTATCATTCTAGAGGTAATGCAAGTTTACACTCATATACCACAACTTGGCCATATCGTTATTCTTTTTACTTCCAAAACTGACCTTCTTTTACATTGAAGGCTCACACCTAGAGCTACGTCGGAGTGCGTGCGGCCAAGTCCACCCCACCGGAGGAGGTCAAATGTGGCTAATGGTTTGTCCAAGTGTGCAGAAACATGGCTCGCATGGGCGTGAGAGGTGTTGAGATCTATTGGCCACATTGGAAGAATATTTTTTGAGGTCAATAGATTAGCATCGTTTGTGGGAAGACCACACTCAACCACGAACATCCTAGTTGTGAAAGCCGTCGAGAGGAAGTTATCCTACATCCCTACCTTGAAGAAAGGTATAAAGTCCTTGAAAAAAGGACAGAAGGCATCAAAGAGACATCTATCGACTTCTGCTATTAACAAGCCAATGATACATCATGAGTTTCAGTCACTATGGCTTACAAGGTAGATGTCATCAATCAGAAGCATCTGAAGAATAAGTCCTCCAGACAAATGTTAACACCTGTCGACCCCACCATCAGCATCGATGAGGTGGCACAGATGCTCGTTTGGCTTGTGGGAGAGATGGTTTGCAAATATGAGGATTATGGCCTAGCAAAATGCTATCATGTAGCAACTACTCATGCAAAATATAACGGGCAAGTAGGTTACCAAATACCTCAACAAGGGACATTTCAACAGAAGAATGAAAACGACACGAGGGCTAAGGGAGCCTAGTCCCATGGAGAGAGAAGTTAGAATGGACACGTCCACAAATTACCCTTCCAACCGGCTCAATGGAAATCTGTCACAGGAGAAAATTTCCTCAAAATATGTCCAAGAACAAGAACCCCAGAGATCCACCAGCGTCTTTGACAAAATTGGACAATTAAGGCCTAGGAATAGGCCCCAATAGTCACTCCCCATTTGGAGGCAGCAAGATATGGACAAGAACAAAAACCTCACTGACCTCAATGGGTTCGACCGCCTAGAAATAGGTAGGAAAAGAGAGATACGGCAAACTTGAGGAACCAAGCTGGGGTTTCAGAACCGCTACACTACTAAGCAGAGAAAGATGAATCAGATGGTCTCTACAGACCTTTTGAACTAGATGATGATGATGAAAGTCTCTAATTCTTATAGGAGTTGAGAAAGGCTCATGTTTCGAGCCACTTCGTGCCATCAAAAATACTCAAGTACAAAGGAAACAGGGATCCGACGAAGCACCTTAACAACTACAATACCCATATGTCCCTTAGGACAGCTTCGCTAATGCTGAAGTGCAGAGTTTTTCACCTAAAGTTGATAGGGACAACTGAAATTTAGTATAGCTGCAAACCAACTGGTAACATCAGAAGTTGGCATGATCTCAAGAAGGCTTTCTTGAATTAGTATTTATCCAGTAAAGAAGGGAAAGCTCCCATCCAAAGGCTGCAAGATTTGAGGCAACAAGTAGGCGAAATGTTGAATAGCTACCTGGCTCGTTTTACTGATAAAATGTTTGAGGAGAGGCCTTAACATAAACACCCTCTTCTGGAGGGACGTACGAAATAAGAAGCCAACCATTTACGATGCTTTGGTAGAAATGATGAGAAGCAAAATAGTCAACGAAGAGTTGATTGATCATCGCAATCAAACTTTTTTAAGACTTTCGCCCCCTTAGAGATAGAGGTGAGGTCTTGTTTCACACTTAGTATATCAACAGTAGACCCAGGCCAAGCTTTAGCTGCTGCCATCCTAAATGTGGTACCTTCCTTAGTATATGAAAAAATCAATCCTGATGTTCAAAGACTACTGAATCAATCAAGAGGCAAAGCAAGGGGAAGGGACAATGAACCTAAAAATAGGCCATATTGTACTTATCACCAAACTTACAGCCATGGCACAAACGACTGCATGTCAAGGCCATATCATATAGAGCCATCAAGTTTATACATCAACAAAAGAAACTCATGTCAGACCCAAATGAATGCACCTCAAAATAGGAGCCTACGCATGAAAATACTTGGTATCATCATAAGGACCAATCGTCCAGATAAAGGGATAATGAAAATAAAGACAGGCCTAGAGGTCCCCAGAGGTAGAGAAGAAAAACCCGAGTGGATACAGGAAATGACCCTACTAGGGAGATTGACACAATAATTGGGGGTCCACGTGTCAACAAGAAGTCGATAAGCACTCAAAGAAATTATGCTGAGAAAGCCATGAAACCCTCCTATGATGAGTTATTTGGCATTAAATGCCTCTAGTGGGACTAGCACCATCCCATCAATAACGTTTATGCAGGAGGACACCGTCGGCTTACATTACCTTTACTCTGATGCCTTAGCGGTGTGAGCTATTGAGGCAAGAAATGGTCTGAATCACATGCTGGTTGTTAATGGGGGCTCCATCAACATTTTGTTTGGATTATCATTCTCAGGGGAAGAATCATGCTACCTATGAAAATGGGAACACCCCCTTTATGGCTCATCACTTTATAGAGTTTCTCATATTGGATCACAGGTTCGCTTATCATGGGGTGCTGAGGCGACCTGCATTGAAGGAACTCTAGGCTGTCACATCTATTCATCACTTGTGCATGAAATTTTCCATCGGACAAGGCATTACCACTATTCGAGGCGATCAAATGGGCTCAAAAAAATGCTACGTTAACTCTTTACGAAAATCTGAGCCCCAAAGTGTGAATATGGTTCTAATGGACACTGAAATGCTTGACACACCTGAAGAAGGTCCAACCACTGAATAAAGGGAAGATGTTGAGATCATAAATGCTCATATAGAATGAGCCATCCCTAAAGAAGGGACTATTGAAACGGGTTTGGATCCAAGGATCATATAATCAAACTCCTAGGCAATCTGAATGGAGAAGTTGGAACCTTTTCTTGTTGACCCATATAGTCTTACGAAAATGCTTCACGTGGGGAAAGAACTAAGCTTGAACGAAAAACACGAGCTTAAGGGTTTCCTCCTCTAGAACCTAGACACATATGGAAACACGGAGATATGGCCAGTATCGACCCAAAGTTAGTTGCCACATTCTCAATATTGATCCTAAGTTTACCTCTCACAAGCAAAAGAGAAGGGCTTTGAACCCAGATAGATATCCCAAAAAGAGGAGGTACAAAGGCTAGTATTTAATGGCTTTATCAGAGAAGCGATCTACCCTAAGTAGATATCCAATCTGGTTCTAGTAAAGAAGCATAATGACAAGTGGAGGGTCTACATAGACTTCTCCAACCTTAACTAAGCATACCCAAAGGGTGGCTTCTCACTCAAGAATAACCAACTTGTAGATGTTGTACGAGTTGTTAAGTTTCATGGATGCCTATTTAAGTTACAATCAAATTCGTATAAACCTTTCTGACGAGGAGAACACCTCTTTCATTATAGATAGAGGTCTGTATTGCTATAAAGTATGCCTTTCGGATAGAAGAACGCAGGAGCTACCTATTAGAGATTGGTCAACAGGATGTTCATTGACCTCATTGGCTAAACCATGAAGGTGTATGTTGATGATATGTTGTAGAAGTGTCTTAGAGCAGTAAACCATGTTGAGCACTTAAAGCCAGCCTTCAATGTCTTGATGAAGTATCAGATGAAATTGAACCCATTAAAATGTGCTTTGACGTAGGCTCAGGAAAGTTCTTGGGCTGCATAATCAACTAACGAAAATAAGATCAAGGATCTACTAGACATGAGGTTCTCTAGCAAGACTAAAAAGTGCAAAATCTAATAGGTCGACTTGCGACA